ATTTTTGGTAGGGTTCTGTATATTCCATAAAAAGAACCTTTCTGTATATAATATTTTCCTTTTGTAAAAATCACAAGATCAGTTAAAAAATTTTTTTTTTAAAAAACCAATTAAACTAATTCCCAAACTTAAAAACTGTAAAATGCCTTACCCATCCAAATGCAAAGTCAATTAAAGGATGCAAGAACACAAATTGGAAAAAAGTGTATGTTCTAGAATTAAATTACATAAATATCTTGTAAATAAAATTTTAATATCATTTTATGTTTTTGAAAGGTGATGATGAATTATTGTTCAATGATGTTATTGTAGATGTTGATGATGAATTGTATAGTATTATGAGAAATGAAAATAATGAAAACAATGAAGAAAGTGATTATTATATAAGTGATTATGATTTTAACTGACAATTCAGGTAGTGAGGATGAATGGAGCAATATAGATTTGACAAACCACCTTGTGAAATCATTTGAAATTACAGAAGAAACAATTGCTAAACAAAATCTAAATTCATTTGAGGTTCTTAAAGAAGCTTCTATAAAACCAAGTGCATTTTTATTGCCCAACAAAAGATCATTAATTTATTCTGGGATGCTAAATCAACTTTACAAAATAAAAGGCATGCCTTGCTGCAACTGGATCTAAAAAAATTACATCAATTTTTCCATCACAAGCATCAAGAATTATTTCATCATCATCATCAAATAACACCAATGATATACCTTCTTCTTCATTAAATGAACCTGATATCATGCCTGTCTTTGATGTGGTAAGTACTGCCAATGATATTAATAATGAATATTCTTTACATCAGGAAAATGAGTACAAATATTATGTGTATATAATACGCAATTGCAGGGATTAAGCATATAATATATGTACAATTTGCATACATAAAAAAATATGCGATTTGTATGCATATTATATGCTTAATCCCTGCAATTGTGTATTATATACGCATAATATTTGTACCCATTTTCCTGATGCTAGAAGAACAAGGTTTCCTTTTCAACCTTCTTATTAATCAGAGCACAAGGCTTCATCAAATGCAAATAGACATTTAACTGAACTTTCTTGTGTTATCATTCTTTCTTCATCTAAATATTTATTGATACCTTCAGTCATCTTACCATCTGTAGTGCTTTTCATAGGCTCACATGTGATATCAGTCATCCTGCATTCAATATCCTTCCAGAAATTCACCTGTGAATTTTTGCCAGTATGCTCATCAATCCATTCTTTGCAACTCCCCTTGAATTCCTTCAATTTTTGAAAACATGCACATATGTATGCAAGATAGGTGACTAAGACATCCCGTTCATTTCTCAAACTCATGTAATAGTATATCAGCAACATGTGATCTGGATGGATAGCCACTTGATTTGGAGTCATGCAAACAACAATACACTGTCATTTGGTTTTCTGCAAAATTCTTCAATAATTTTGATTTTCCTGTGCCACTGGGATTGAACTAAGGTTGTGTATGGTGGATAATATTCTTTTGACATTTCATATTCACACAAACAATTCTCAATAAAGTTCATAAACCTTTTTGAAAGGTCACTTGGATCTTGAAAAGTTCTATCAAAAGCTTTATGGACAATTTCCTCTTCTTCACTTTCAGTACTATCCACCAACAGCTCTAATATAGAATGTATGAAAAACATTAAATTTCCACTGATTACATTAAATGAGAAACCATCATATAACAGTGCCACACTTGACCAACTTACTTGAATCCATGTCCATTGTCTCTAACTGGTATAAGTATAACAAGTATCAGAAAATAGATGAATAAATTAGATAAATGAATTTTTTATATGGTTCACAAAGAATATATAAAACAGTAAAGGTTTTAATTCTCTTTTCCTGTATAATCTACTATTTCCTCCCTTTCTTTCCATCATCTGGCTAGCAAGAGGTAAAAACCAACACTTCAAAACAGCAATATATATTCACTCAAACAAATAAATAAATAAAATGAAATGAACGCAAAAATAATTATAATTTTTTGTTTAATTTTTTTATGCAATTTGTTCATTACCTTCCCCCCACCAAATTCTACTAATGCATCTTGCAACTTCTCCACCACCTATCTTCCACGTTCTTCACCAGCTTCTCCTCTTTCTCTTCCAGTCTCTTCTTCTCCTCTTTATCATCTTCATCAAGTTCTTTCCTCTTTCTCCTCAACTTCTTCAACAACATTCCATTGTCCTCCCATTCTTCGAATTCCTTCAACTTATTCTCTGCCTTTTCATGGTTTTTAATTGCAATATTTAATTGTTCTTTAATTTCTTTGTACATTGCCATTTAAAAGATTGTAAAATTAATTTTAAAAAAAATTTTTTTTTATTGATTTGTGCATAATTTCAACCAATGATAAATTAGTGGGCACATGACTTGGAATTTATTTTTACGGACAATGATTAATTGACAATCTGTGAATGAATCAGTGAGATGTTGATCATTTTGTTATGAAATTTTGTTGCCAATTATTATTAATAAAATAAGAAATTTCAGTTATTTTTTAATTTTACTGTAACAACATATAAGTTCATTTGATAGGTTTCATTAAAATAAAAATTTTTTTGTTGATAAACCAATAAAAAAAAAGTATAATTTTGGTCAGAATACTTTTTAATGTTGGCTGAAAGTTAAAAAATTCCGAATTTTTATATGTTATTGATTTCTTGAAATCTCGGTGACAAGCATACAAAAGTTTTTGAAGAACACTCCAATCCCTTTAATATTTTGACATATTATTCTATGAGATTTACTTACACATTCATAAAAAGAGCAAGATTTGTAATACAAAAATATTATGATTTATTATTTGTTAAACATTGTCAATTGATGATTTTTTACCATTTTTGCCCCACCGATCCTATGGATCATTAATTAAACAATAAAAAGAAAATTACAATAGAAAAATACATAAAAATATAAGTTAAAAAATCGTCAGACTTCCATGGGAGGACCCAAAGCCATTACCTATTCTTTGGGCACTCAGACAAAAATCCAACTTTCACTATTACTACTACTATTATTAATTTTGATAATATCATTGTTAATATTCATATCTTTGTTGTTTTCATTATCTTTTTTATCTTCACTCTCTACTTCTTTCATCTTTTCTTTCTCAACCCACTGTTGGATTGCTTCTAGGGTTTGTTTTTTGTTGATAGAAATTTTTAACAATAGAAGCAGCAACTTTTTTCTCACCAAATAATTCACGAATTTCCATGGCCATTTTACCAAATGAAAAATTGGGGTTCAACCCAGTTGTTTTGTCAAATAATTGCTTGAAATCCTTTCATATATTTTCTATTTCTTGTGAATATTGTTTATCACTAGTAAGTTTGTCTGATTTATTTTTGAATTGGCTTTTACTTGGTTTTATTTTATTGATTATTTGATCAATTTTTTGATTTATAATAATACAAAATTGATTTCTGTAAGTTTTATCATGAAATAAGAAACCAAGGAATGATCGGCAGTCAAAAAATTATCTATATACTAATACTGTATCATAGTAAAAATCATGTTACATACACTCTACCCTTAAACGGAAAATTTTTTAAATTCGTGTCACCATTAAATGTCACGTGACTCGGAAATTTTATTGCATTTTTGAACATAACTCATAGTGCAGGTCACTTAGTCCCACAACTTTCTGTGCCACGCCACCAACTTTGAGAAAAAATTTCCAATCAAAAATGCAGTAAAAATTTCACAGTCACATGATTTTTGAAAATTGTCAAGTGCTAAATAAATATTAATATATTAAAATTTTTCTTTTACATTCCTATATGGGGGATGCTGCAACATAACCAGACAAAGTGAACATTTGTATTACAAAGAATTCAAGGATTGAAATTTGTAATAGCAATAATAATAGTAATATTACAGAAATCAATACAATGAACATATCTAATTTGTAAACATTTTTTAAAGTATAAGAAATTAATATTAATAAGTATCCTAACCCTCCCCTAGATTTGGATTTTTTTACTTTGATCTGATCAAATAATTTTTGACCAATGTTCACAGTATACATATTATTATGAAATTTTTAATAACATGAAAAAAATTTTTTTTTTTGATTATTTTTATTTAAGAGCTTATCTCAATGAGTAACTAAATCACACCAATTTAGTACTTTTCCATGGATCCAATGTCTTAGAATATTAAATATCAAACAAGTATCAGTGATTAAATCACTTTGAAAATATCCTTCATTAGTGGCACAATAGAAGATCCATTTCATTCCATCTGTTATATAGATGCTGGTCACAATTCTTGGTGATGGTTGCAACCATATTTGCGACATATAAAAATGGTTTGCAACACCTGGTTGCAACCACCTTTGTGACCACTTTGGTTTCCTTTTTTGGATTGCAACATGGAACACTAGTTTTGTCCCAGAAGCAGTAAAATTATACAAAAACTACACCTTTGGAATAAATTTCTACACAAATTTTCATAAGGAAGTAAGAAAAATATTTATTTAATATATACCATTTGATTTTGTTTAGAGTTTCTTTCCAATCTGCTTTCATAAGGCAAATGAGGAATGATTAAACTTAATGAAATTGAATTTACTTTTAATAAGGGTTGTTTTAATCCTTTATATGTGTTTTATTAACATAATTATCCTGCTGGTCCCTATTTAAAAATCAATGCAGATAACTCATTATTAAAAGCATCATCACATTAAGTATTAAAATTAAAAAAAGTTGAATGTTAAAAAGCAATAGATATTTTAAGTTTATTAGAAAATTATTATTAATTCATTTTTAAAAATTTATTTCAACAATTATCAAGTATTATCAATTAGTTGAAGAACTTCCAATTCATCAAATTTACCATAAAATGGTATATTGATGTTACTATAAGTTTTTGGAGTACCAAAAATTGTACCATTTTGATCAAAATAAAGATCATTATAGCCAAAAATAGGAAATGAACTAGGTTTACAACCAATTGCAAATTGATTTTCACCATCAATGACATAACTAAGTTGTGCAGTACTATCATTTCTATTGTTAATATTAAATATGAAGCTTTCATTTGTATATTTATATCTATTTCCATACCAGTTAAATGGATTATACCCGCCAACTATTTGCTCAGAATTTTCTATTTTTGCAACTACAATAGTTTTGGTAATGTCTTTACACTTTTGATGGAATGCATGTGGATTTAAACCATCTCTAGTGCTACAATATAAAGATTTAAATTTATGTTTAGCTTTTTTTAATGAAGCAAGTGATAGTTGTGTTTTATCAATCCAATTTTCAAAAAGTGAAACAAGGGTTTGTTTAATTATTGTTGATCCAATTGTTGAACCTCTTGATGGTAATAAATTTAAAGCTGATTCTTCATCAAGATTTGTATAATAATTCCAAATATTTCTCCATAAATCTGTAAGAAAAAGCATTTGATATTGAACAACAATTTTGTCACTAAAATCCCTATTAGAAATATCCTGAAATCTAATTAAAGGAATGATACCTCCTAATGTATTCTTTAACTCCTTAAAATCATCTTTATTCCGATTTAAAATGTTTTTTTCTTCCAATTTTTTATTTTTTCCAATTCCCCTTTAAATTTAAATTATCTTTTTTTAACAAACTCATTAACATTCATCCAGAAAATATAAAAATAATTTGCATGTGTCAATTGTAAGTTTAATAATAAAAAAGTGTAAATCTTACATCGACACCATAAGATTTATGCAATATTATGTTGGCATTGTAGGATTTACACAAGTTTACACTAAATTAATTTCCTGATGTTGGCTTTTCAATACTTTTGAAATCATTAGATGTAAAAATCAATTTTGGATCTCATGAAGTTAAACCTTCAAAGTATTTATAAAGTATGCTGAATGATGGGTGTCTTGATGAAAATTGATAGGTTCTGTTGAATCCATTCTTTGTTTTGACAATTAAACAGTTTAGTAAGTCATCAAGTAAATCACTAACATCCAATTCATCACATGCCATGAGAAGCTCCATAATTTCATTGCAATCAAAATTATCAATATTAATAATTCCACTATAAATATATATAGATGCTGGTCACAATTCCTGGTGATGGTTGCAACCATATTTGCAACATATAAAAATGGTTTGTGACACCTGGTTGCAACCACCTTTGCGACCACTTTGGTTTCCTTTTTTGGATTGCAACATGGAACACTATAAATATACCTTTGAAAAAAAACTTTTTATTTTAATTGTTTTAGTTTTATATTTATAATAAAAAAATTTATTTAATAATCATTCAAATAATTAAAATTAAACTAATCTTACTTTAAAAAAGCTTCAAACACTTTGGGAGATATGTTGGTTTTTTCAAATAAAATAGTATCTTCTTCCAAGGTTGGCAAATTGTCTGGTCCATTGAGAACTGATGGATTTTGGGCTGGTCCATTACCATTAATAAAATACTAAATATGGTTAAAATATTACATTAATGGACCCAATAGACCATCAATGGACCACACATTTGCCAACCCTGCCTTCTTCAGATCTCCTTACCCAAATGCTTGATAAAGCAACTTTAAAGTATGATGACCTTGTTTTTAAAATGGTCGAGTGAGCTTTAAATGTTTTGATGTTTTGGCCTATTCCTGCTTTGATTTCTACATTGTAAAAGTCAGGTTCATTTAATAGATTGGTTAGATCATTTACAAGTTTACTGATATATTTTAATGATGAAGTTATATTAACTAGTATTGCAAGTTTTTCTAAGGATATAAAATTATTAGACATCTTAAAAAATATTATATAATAATATTAATATAAATCAGAGACACAATCAACAACATCATAACAAATAATTTATATATGTAAACAAGTTTACCTTTTCAATAGCTAATAAAGCATCTTGACTTGAAATAAGAGATGTATCTTCGATGTCTTCTTCATCCTGATTTTTTTCATTGAAATTCGACATAGAAATTATCATTTATTTCAAATAATTGACTTAATTTTTCTGTTGGATTTTTATAAACAACATTTTTTATTTTTTTTATTTTGCGATTAATAATTTTTATTATTAATTCGTGTTTCGCCGATCATGTGTAGAAATCTATTATAAAATTGCATATAATTATCGGTCAACTTCAAAATGCTAATAATAAATACAGGAGGGTCGAATGTAACCCACTAATAAAATTTTTTAGATCAACATGGATATTCAATACTTTGTACAAGTGTTAAGGACAAGATCTAAGGACAAAATATTCTAACGAACGTTTTATCAATTATTCCATAGTTTGTACAAGCATTAAGGACAAGATCTATGAACAAAATATTCTAATGAATGCTTTATCAATTATTCAATAGTTTATATAATTTTTTTTTATTTTGACATATATTTTAACTTATATTTAATAACATCACTATGATAAATAAATAATAAAGTCAGGGATAAATTTAATCATTATTGTTGTTGTTTATTGTTCTAATCATTATTTACAGAAAAGAAAATTTTTAATATCTATTTATTTATCATATTTACTTTTAAAATAAATGATTTATTATAAAAGACATACCTAAATGATCAAAAATCTGTAAATATTCATAATAATGTAATATTTGGACATCTATTTCTACTTATACTTTGCAATTGGACACACCAAACAAAATTTTATGTATATGAATATAAAAGCAAAATTTGACTTTGAGGGTCAGGTTATTTCGGTTTTATTAACAACCTGCTTTAAAATTTTTCATAAGTAGATACAT